CTTAGGATTCCTCGCCAGTCAGGGCCCAGAAACCATACACATCCTGGACTAAGCCACCACGCTAAGGCCCCTGATTTACACAGGGTTTGAGGGTTTAGTGCGGGTTTAGGGTTTAGGGCTTACTGTAAATTTGCCCTAAGTATGCCTTTTTCCTGAACAATTCTTGTTCCTTTCTGGGTTCTTGGTGCATCTGCACCTCCAGGCAGCTAAACCCTAAACCCTAAACCCTAAACCCTAAACCCTAAACCCTAAACCTTAAACCCTAAACCCTAAACTGCTAAACCCTAAACCCTAAACCCGGAATCCTAACCCATCGATGCTTTGCATGTTGTGTAAGAGGTCGTTCTTACCTCTTCCGGGGCCTTGCTCACCCTAAACCCTAAACCCCAAACCCCAAACCCTAAACCCCAAACCCCAAACCCTGAACCCTAAACCCAAAACCCTCAACATCTCTGGCCTTGCTCTTGGCCTCCTCAGCCTCTTCCAGGGCTTTCTGCTCCTCTGCGTGCGCCTGCGGATCTAAGGGACAGGAGCTTTGGGGGCAAAGGGGGCCCCGGGCTAAAGGTTTTGGGTTAGGGTTTAGGGTTCAGGGTTCAGGGTTCAGGGTTTAGGGTTTAGGGTTTAGGGTTTAGGGTTAGGGTTTAGGGTGCTCGGGCTTGGTGTTTAGCGTCGAGGGTTCTTGGGCTCAGGGTCTCGGGTTCTCGGGCTTACCTAAGCCCTAAATCCTGAAACCCTGAAACCCCTAAACCCTAAACCCTAAACCCTAAACCCTAAACCCTAAACCCTAAACCCTAAACCCTAAACCCTAAACCCTAAACCCTAAACCCTAAACCCTAAACCCTAAACCCTAAACCCTAAACCCTAAGCCATAAACCCTAAACCCTAAACCCTAAACCCTAAACCCTAAACCCTAAACCCTAAACCCTAAACCCTAAACCCTAAACCCTAAACCCTAAACCCTAAACCCTAAACCCTAAACCCTAAACCCTAAACCCTAAGTCAAGCTGCAGGCCGCGCGCAAACTCCAAGAACAAACTCCCGGCATGGTTCTGCGGTTGAGGGGGTGGTTTGGGCTTAGGGCTTAGAATTTAGGGTTTAGGGTTTAGGGTTTAGGGTTTTAGGATGTAGGGTTTAGGGTTTAGGCTTTAGGGTTTTAGGGTTTAGGGTTTAGGGTTTAGGGTTGAGGGTTGAGGGTTGAGGGTTTAGGGTTTAGGGTTTAGGGTTGAGGGTTTAGGGTTTTAAGGTTTAGGGTTTAGGGTTTAGGGTTTTAGGATTTAGGGTTTAGGGTTTAGGGTTTAGGTTTTAGGGTTTAGGGTCAAGGGCTGAAGTAAGGGTGTAAGGTTTAACAGCAACATTTTGGTGCAGGTATCTGGAGGCAAATGCGTGCTGCCCCTCCCCGCGACTGGACTCCTAAACGCAGAACGCCAAACCCTAAACCCTAAACCCTAAACCCTAAACCCTGAACCCTAAACCCAAGACTCTAACCCCTTCCCCCGAATAGAACTTTGAAGCGCGGCCTTCTTCTTGGCTTCCTCGGCCTCCCGCAGGAACTTCTCTTGCTCTTCGCGGGCCTACGGTGGGGCTGGGGAGCTGAGAGAGCGTAGGATTGAGGATGACCCTAAGCCCTAAACCCTAAACCCTAAATCCTAGACCCAAGACCCTAAGCCCATAGTTCTAGTTCTACGTCGGGTAGAATTAGGGGGCAAGGCGCTGCAGTATCCAGCTATGGCTGCATTTGCCCTTGGTGAAGATGTGCACTTGTGGCTGTTTGTGGTGGCTCATGTACCTCAAGTACGCGCAGGCCCTTTTAAAGTGCACATGAGCAACGACAACACAGAGCGAGTCAGCTGAAGCGGTGACATAGAGGGAAGGTATTAAGCTGATGAATAGAATTACCTACTACAGGTCAACAATTCAAAAGACTAGTGCACTTTGATTCGAAAACCGCTCAACCATGAAGCCTGCAGCCGAAACCCTCGCAACCTCAATCGTTGAAATGGATAGGACCATGTGGGCGTTTGATGGGGTGAAGTCTGCAACATTTCCCGAAACTGAAACTTCAGATACTACAAGGGTCGGAATAAATACGAATCGTATTCCCTTATGGTCCCTTTATGAATATACTAAAATAGCCCCCGAACCCTATTCAAATTATTCACGCCCCTATAGTACGTACTCCAACTGAGAGTTCAGGGTGTAAGGTTGCCTTTGTAGAGGAAACTCGTGCCTGCCGCACACAAGCAACAGCACCACCTCAACCAACCCCAGCCCATCCTATCCGGAGGCACGTCCTCACTGCTGATGCTCCAAAGCGTCCCGAATACAAGTGGGCTTAGGGATTTAGACGGTTTAGGGTTTAGGGCTTCATGGGGTTAGAGGTTTGGGGTTTAGGCATGGACGGGTTAAGCGCACGGCCTTCTGCTTGGCTTCCTCCGCTTCCTCAATGGCCCTCTGACCCTCTTCCAGGGCCTGTAAGCGGCAGGGCTTAGGGTTTAGGGTTTAGGGTTTAGGGTTTAGGGTTTAGGGTTTAGGGTTTAGGGTTTAGGGTTTAGGGTTTAGGGTTTAGGGTTTAGGGTTTAGGGTTTAGGGTTTAGGGTTTAGGGTTTAGGGTTTAGTGTGTAGGGTTTAGGGTTTAGGGTTTAGGGTTTAGGGTTTAGGGTTTAGGGTTTAGGGTTTAGGGTTTAGGGTTTTAGGGTTTAGGGTTTAGGGTTTAGGGTTTAGGGTTTCGGGTTTCGGGTTTCGGGTTTAGGGTTTAGGGTTTCAGCCGATGGGTTCAACACCGAGACCAAAATCATCTGTGGCTAAGCTAGACCCCCCGAGAGTCCCCGTCTAGACACCCCAAATACCCACCCACTAACTAAGGAATCATTAAGTTCCACTTCGGCCCTCATTAAGGGTTTGGGGTTTAGGGTTTAGGTTTTAGGGTTTGGTAGAGCTTACGTTCTGGGTAGCTTTTGATCTGACGCAACACATGTGAGTCATAGCGTTGGGGTAGTTACATGGTCCCTCAATATGGGCCCTTCAAAGGGGACCCCATATATACCCCTTATACACCCGGCACAACCCAAGGGCTCATACATCAGAATTCTTTAAGAGGGTACGAAGCCATGTTGAGGGCCCATAGAGGGTTTAGGGTTTAGGGTTTAGGGTTTAGGGTTTAGGGTTTAGGGTTTAGGGTTTAGGGTTTAGGGTTTAGGGTTTAGGGTTTAGGGTTTAGGGTTTAGGGTTTAGGGTTTAGGGTTTAGGGTTTAGGGTTTAGCGATATTCAGGATCCATGGGGGCCCTATGGGCATCTGGCAGCTCACGCCTTCTTCTTGGCCTCTTCAGATTCCCGCAGAATCTTCTCTTGCTCTTGCCGTGCCTGTACAGCGGCAGGCAGCGCCCTAAACCTACACTCTAAACTCTAAAAACCTTGTAACCCCCATAAACCTTATAAACCCTATAACCCTCTAAAATTCCATAAACCCCATAAACCAATTAAACCAAAGCCTGAAGCCTAACCCTCGTAAGACTAAACCACAAGCCCTGAACACCAATCTAATAGGGGGGGGGGGGGAGGTACTATAATCCCTGTTAAGGACCGTTCGTATAAGGCGAAGCATCCCGAAACCCGAAACCCTAAACCCGAAACCCGAAACCCGAAACCCTAAACCCTAAACCCTAAACCCTAAACCCTAAACCCAGTCAGAACTGTGAAGCTCCGAAAGCCCAACTTGATCAAAGCCCCCTCTGCAGGCCGTTCGGACTCTGGGAGCCCTGAGCTCCAGAAACCTGCCTAGGGTTTAGGGTTTAGGGTTTAGGGTTTAGGGTTTAGGGTTTAGGGTTTGAGGGTTGAGGGTTGAGGGGGTTTAGGGTTAGGGTTTAGGGTTTAGGGTTTAGGGTTTAGGGTTTAGGGTTTAGGGTTTAGGGTTTAGGGTTTAGGGTTTAGGGTTTAGGGTTTAGGGTTTAGGGTTTAGGGTTTAGGGTTTAGGGTTTAGGGTTTAGGGTTTAGGGTTTAGGGTTTAGGGTTTAGGGTTTAGGGTTTAGGGTTTAGGGTTTAGGGTTTAGGGTTTAGGGTTTAGGGTTTAGGGTTTAGGGTTTAGGGTTGAGGGTGTATTGTTGAACGTGAGCGTCCCAAATCAGGGAAGTTCCATCGCCAAAACTTCAGTGAGCAGGGCGCAGCAAGGCATCAACTGTGTAACCGTTGGGCCCAAGCTCACATCAACTTGTTGTCCAGGGCCACGCCTGAAGGTGCTAAGGCCTAAATCTTTTTGTTTGTTGTTCTCCATGGCCCCGCTGTGATTGGGTTTTCCTTTGTTCGAGGTTTGGACGTAAGAGGGTCTGGTGTGAGGAGGGCACAAGGGAAGCGTTTGAGAGGATTAGCTGATTGGTACTTTGCATGAGGAGTGTTGCGACTCACGCTTTTGACGCAGAAGGTTTGAACTGGCCCTAAAGTGATGGACTTCCAGCTCTGCCCGGTGTTTCTCACTGCGTGCGGACGTTTTTTGAATTTGCAAGAGCAGAGCGTTGCTGCTAGAAGTGCTGCTGGAGACACGAAGACGTCTTGCCCGAGCAAACCTTGCGGCGTTCCCTGAGTCGTACACTTTAACCTTTGTGCCCTCATTCATTTCTCTGACCTTGAGCCACAAAAGGAGCACGGCCATGCACTAACTGCCCACAGCGCTCCTTGCCTTAATCCTTGGTTCGGACCCTTCGGGTTTAGGGAGTCCAGGGGCTCATTCAACCTCAGATGTTTGCTCGCTGGCTCAACTGCTTCCTGTATGGCAGACCCCTGCCACCTAAACTCAATCTGGTTGAAATGGTTTAGCTTCCTGTTGATCCCCGATCCACGGGTAGGCAAAGTGTCTAAGGTGCCGCAAATGCACCCTTTTTGGCTCCATTGACCTTACTCTTTCCTGTCTCAGGAACCTGTACAGCTTCTGCAGGCTCTCGTGTTTCCTAAGCAGCAGCCAACGCACGAATTTCCTGCATTTTGAATGACATGACAGGTTTGCAAAGACATGGAGCCAATGTACGTTGCCGAGGATGGTGCTTTTGGAGAGTCATAGCGACTTCTGTCATGTCGTGCACTTGAGCCTGTTTGTGATGGCATTGCAGGACACAATGGATCGCAGATGTCACATGCTGATTTTGGGAGTTACGCATTCCGAACATGTGCGGCCAGGACAGCAGCGGTAGCGCCGATCAGGCCTTTTTTGGGTGCGCTTTGGGAGGTGGTGCGACCTGTCGATCTTGCAGTTCAGGTTTGCAACAGATGTCGTGACCTGAACCTAAGTTCTGGCTTGGGTAAAGCCCATTTTGTTTTGCCAACGCATGTGCTTTCAGGCCACCAGAGAGATCCAGCAGTTGAGGGCGGCGTTGGAAAAAGAGAAGGTGGCTTGCTTGCTGTGGCCGGCAGTTCGCATGTGAATTGAATTTCGGGGGAACGGGAGAACAAAGTTTAAGCAGTTTAGGGATTCCGCACACAATCGCTGTTTGCATTTCACTTTGGAATCGAGGCGCAGAACGCGCAGCTCAGCGAGGCACTTCTGGATCCCATAACTTACCAAGTGTTCTGGTCAAAGTGTTGTCGAACTCACCGGAACATCATTTAAGCCCGACTGGGGTTTGCCAAAAACCTCCAGCTGCTCCCTTCCTGTGGAGGCGTACAGCGCGCAGCAGGAGGCGTACAGGGCGCAGCAGGATCTCTTGGAAATGAACTGGGCGCTGCATCAGCACATGGTGGATGCATTGGTGTTGGCCCTAAATGCGAAGAACCATGCAGACCGTGCGGCTGTGTGGTTTGTAGGGTGCACATGCATGCTGCCATGGACCATGGACATGAGCTTTGTGACAGCTTTTAGTGGCTACTCAAAGAAGTGTCCCGAACTGGCCAGGGCGGGCATCTAACGGAAAGTGACCCGTAGTTTTGAGGGACGTCTTAGGGTTCGGGCAAGCTTGGGCATCAAATTGCGCAACGTTCTGAGTTGGCGCTCAAAGGCTCACAAGACGTGCGCTCAGAAAAGGGTGCCTTGGCCAGAAGTTAAGCTCTGCTTTCTTCTATGTGGTAGCCAGCGTTCGGCACGGGCCAATAAGCTTGACTCACGCCCGTTAAGTTGCCTACCTCGGCACATCATGTGACCTTTGAGGTCGAGCACGACTTCTTGGTCCGGAAAGCACAGAGAGAAAAGCAGAAAGTGCCGCGGCGAACGAATTAGCGAGCTGGTGCTTCTGAGAACTGACATGACGTAGATTTTTTAGAAACAGGACGAGTTTCTGCACATACCTTCGCAGGATAAAGTTTTCGGTGACGTGAGCGCAGGCTCTAAGGGCGGCTGGCTTCGTCTCGAAGCCTTGCGATCCCAATGCCGAACGTCAGAAGCCGGTCGGCGAGATCACTGACGACGAGGCCGGTGCTCAGCAGCCCGCCGGCCCTGAACTTGACTTTCCAGCCCCTGATGCCATGCTTGCGAAGATCCTCGAGCTTGAGCATGTAAGGCCAGGCAGTTAGGCACAGTTAGGCTACCTTTGGAAAGACGAAAACGAGTAGCGCTAACCCGACGGAATCGAAGGGAGGGTCATGATGGCCGTGAATGCTGACTGCAGCCATGAGTGTAAGCATGTTGACTAGCGTTGGTGCAGTCGTTTGCAAACAGGGACCAGGAGTTGTGCCTCTCAGGCGCACAGCGGCGCTGGCGCCTCGGACAGGGCTGATGCTGGTCCAACAGCTTGGGCTCAGTGAGGCTGAGCCACTCCTCCTGAGGGTGGCGGGGTCCGGCCTTTGCAGGAAACTAGGATTAGAGCTGTTTGACTTAGCCCAGTTCTGAAGTGCAGAACATGAGGCATCTAAGTAGGGTAATGCACCCAGCCAGATCCGACAGGCCGGCTGGAACGCATGCACATTGAAAGCAACACTGCTCTCCCTAGGCCCTACGTAGGAATCTGAAAGAGCAACACGAATGCGCGCATGCGCACAATTTGATATCTTTGAGTCGCTTTATGCTTCTGTTCAACACTCCTTCAATCCCTGCACAGAGCCAACCCAAAGAGGCCGTGGCCAAGGAATGCCCTGAGTGGTGCTGAGAAGCATGCGTCTTTAGGCTCTGCGAGTGGCGACCTTAGCTACATCCAACGTGATAGCAGATCGCACTGCAAAAGAATATTTCTGTTCGGGGAAGAAGTCACCGCATGAGCAAGCCTCCTGGAGCACCCGTGGGGAGGGCTTTCAAGGCATCTGGCAGGCTGCAAAGTGCAAAATGCGAACTCGCTCACATGACATCTTGCCGTTTGACCCTGTTGGACGCTGGGTTGCACCTCATTTAGGTAACGAACAGAGGAACGGCCCTAACCCCGCTGTAATGCCTGCAAGGCATGTAGTCTCCCAGGGCTTAAGGCGTTAGTTTATGAGCCATCGTTTAGCATACAGGGGGTTTGGTGGCATTGCGAATAGACCCACGCTGCTTCTGTTTCTAGGCAAGCACGAGAAAATAGCTACCCTGAAAATCAATCATCTTACCTGGGCAAATGTTGAGGTGGTTAGGCAAGACTTGTTTTGTATCTGAGCATCCAACAAAAATTATTTTTCTGAACGGGAAATACCCACTAGAATGAGTACCAATAAATGCAAATAAAAATCTAAGAATGATAGAAAATCTTCTAAAACGAGGTTCACATATCATGAAATATCGATTCCAGAACACATCTTAAGCTTAGGAAAAATCGTGGAGAGTTTAAACCTCGATGCTCGTATTCATAATATTCTGTTCGGTGTAAGCGGTATTTGCGCCCAAAAACACCAATTAAAAGATTGATAGTCGACGTTTGCTAAGAAATATCTATTCAACTCAGAGAGGCATTGTTCTTAATCTATATTTATCCTACTGCTGTTGTATACATGAATATTCTCGAATTGGACAAAAGAAAAAAAGAATGAAAGGATATTTCTCTACTCTTGAGCACGTATACGGACCCACTACCATCTCGAATTGAGCCGGAGAGAAGAGAAATATTCGAAGAAGAAATATAATCAAAATCTAATTCGATTCGAGAAATTCAAGAGACAGATTTCTCGTTCGAGAAATTCTAGAAAGAGGATTCTCATAAATAAATATCACTTCCCCACAGAACCATTATAATCAATCTATCTTACGCTGGGGAATCTTAGAGGTTTTTTCATATCTCGAATTATCAGAATCTCCTCAGATATGAATTAATTATATCTTAGATTTAATTCAATTTCTATTTTAAGAAATGATTTTGATATTATTCTTCGATATATCTACTCTATAAAACGCTACGGTCAAACCAGCCCTATGCGGTGCGTCACGCCTCGGAGTGCCCCAGCCCCAAAATTTTCCGGAAATTTCTGGACCCCGGCGAGCAAGCCGCTTTGGCCTACCCGGGACCCAAAATTTCCGGGAAATTTTGGGGCTTGGGCTGTGCCCTTTGAAAGGCTGGGCCTCTTCGACGGCCGCAAGCCAGATTCGCTCCCCTAAATTTCTGGAAAATTTCTGGTTCCGGGTAGCCCGAAGCCTCGGTCCCTAAATTTCCGGAAAATTTGCTTCATCGCTTTCCTAAATTTTCCGAAAATTTACACACCCAAAATTTTCAGGAAATTTAGGAAACGGATGCAGCCTGATCATGTTCAGAAGCCACGGCCCAGCTCCCTAAATTTCCGGAAAATTTAGGGTGCTGGGTGGCCGAAAATGTCGAAGCATTGTTGACCGCTTGAACCGTTGAGTTCAGGTGTTGATCATTTGCCATGTTGCTGCATGCTTTCATTGCATGCTTTCATTGTTTTCAATCGTGCTTTGTTTTGTGGCATTACAAAGCTAAAATATTAAACAGGACTTTTACTTCACTTCCAAGATGAGCGCATCACCTGGCATTACCAGGATATTACGAGCGTGCTTTGTTTTATGGCATTACAAAGCGCATTACCTGGCATTACCAGGTCGTCGTCGTCGTCGTCGTGCGTCGTCGCGTCGTCGTCGTCGTCGTCGTCGTCGTCGTCGTCGTCGTCGTCGTCGTCGCGTCGTCCGTCGTGCGTCGTCCGTCGTGCGTCGTCCGTCGTGCGTCGTCCGTCGTGCGTCGTCGTCCGTCGTGCGTCGTCGTCGTGCGTCGTCCGTCGTGCGTCGTCGTGCGTCGTGCGTCGTCGTCGTGCGTCGTGCGTCGTGCGTCGTGGGTCGTGCGTCGTGCGTCGTGCGTCGTTCGTCGTCGTCGTCATCGTCGTCGTCGTCGTGGTCGTCGTCGGGTGTCGTCGTCGTCGTGTCGTCGTCGTCGGGTCGTCGTCGTCGCGTCGCGCGTCGCGCGTCGTGCGTCGCGCGTCGCGCGTCGTGGGTCGTGCGACGTGCGTCGTGCGTCGTGCGTCGTGCGTCGGGTGTCGGGCGTCGGGTGTCGGGCGTCGGGCGTCTTTCGTCGGGCGTCGGGCGTCGGGCGTCCGGCGTCGGGTGTCGTCGTCGTCGTCGGGCGTCGTCGTGCGTCGTGCTTCGGGCGTCGCACGTCTCGCGCGTCGTGCGTCGTGTGTGGCGTCGTCGTCGTCGTGCGAAGTCGTCGTCGCGTGTCGTCGTCGTCGTGATGTGTCGTCGTCGTCGTCGCGCGCGTCGTCGTCGGCGTCGTCGCGCATCATCGACGTTATTTTACGTCGTGCGTCATGCGTCGACTCTATTAAATGGGAATACGACCCGAATTCAATTTTACGGAAATTGTTGGTTCTGGGTAGTCCGAAACTTCGGTCTCTAAATTTCCGGAAAATTTATTTCATTATTTTCCTAAATTTTCAGAAAATTTAGACGCCCAAAATTTTCAGGAAATTTACATTAGCCGCATATATTGTAAATTTCATCTTAGGTGCGAGCGACATTTGCGTCCAAAAGCACCAATTATAGATGCTGGAGGATTTCAAAAATCCACGAAGATCGTGCAGAACAGAATGAAATTTAGGAAATGGATGAACCCCTCTTATTTTGGATGCCCGTATCTATGAAACAGAGCGTATATCATGATCAACTCATCTTTACGCAATATAGCCAATCTTCTTATC